AGTAATACTTGACTAATGATATCTAATAAATTGTGGGATGCTTTATTACGTAAGTATAATTTGGCAAAAAGGAGGAGTATATCATATTTCATTATATTTTATTATATTATATTTCATTTAAATTCATACTATACTTTTAAAAGCATATCTGATTTATGCTTCATTCATCTATCTGCAAACCCATCTATCTGTTAAGACCATTGGAAGAAGACATGTTAATTTGATTATATATCATGATTCAGCGTGTAACTATTACCTTAATGTTGTTTTATATAAGAATTAGCGGTATTACAACATCGTTAATTGTAGATGATATTCTTGCACAATCAATACAAAAAAAAAAAAAAAAAAAAAAAAAAACAGTGGTTGATAGCTTTATGAGCGCATAAAGGCCAAGAAGGCAGAGAGAGAGAGAGAGAGAGAGGAGAGAGAGAGAGAGAGAGGAGAGAGAGAGAGAGAAGGAGCGAGAGAGAGAGAGAAGAGAGAGAGAGAGAGAGATGAGAGAGAGAGAGAGAGAGAGACAGGGAGGAGGAGGGAGAGAGAGAGAGAGAGGAGAGAGCAGGGAGAGAGGGAGGGAGAGAGAGAGAGAGAGCGAGAGACAGGGAGAGAGGGAGGAGAGGAGAGAGAGAGAGCGAGAGAGAGAGAGAGAGAGGAGAGAGAGAGAGAGAGAGAGAGAGAGCAGAGAGAGAAGAGAGAGAGAGAGAGAGAGAGAGAGAGAGAGAGAGAGAGAGAGAGAGAGAGAGAGAGAGAATGAAAGAAAATAAGAGTGAAAGAAATACACACAAAAAAAGAAGTAAATGGCATCGACCTTAGAATAGTACTTCAATCTTGAAGATTACCCTTTGCAGCTGTAATTAAAACTGCTGTGCACCTTTTGCAATAGAGAGAACGAGTACGTGCTAAACTGAAATGCTACTCGGCTGCAATATCAAAGGTCACTTCTAAAAGTCTGTTTGTTTACATGCATTTATTTTCCTTGGAAAGACGAAAGTTGCAGCACTGTGAATGAGTGAGTGTGTGTATATGTGTTTGTTGTGTTTGTGTGTGTGTGTGTATATGTGCGTGTGCATGTGTGTGTTTGTGTGTTTGTGTTTGGTGTATTATGTTCGTGTGTGTGCGTTTGTGTTGTGTTGTGTGTGTGTGTGTGTGTGCGTTTGTTGTTGTTGTTGTTGTTGTTGTGTGTGTGTTTGTTTGTGTTTGTTGTTATGTTCGTGTGTGTATGTGTTTGTTGTGTTTTGTGTGTGTGTGTGTTTGTGTGTGTTGTGTGTGTGTGTATACGAGTTTGACCTAGCAAGTGAAAGATTTTGTACATGTGTATCAAATTGTTTACAGGTGAGTTTAGAAATAATTTCTGATTGTTTGTCTGTGCATGCGAGATCATATGGTTGATACATATTTTCTCATGTACACAATCATAAACAAAAGCACATACTGTATGCCAACTAAAATGTAAAGGAGAGAAAAAGAAAGAAAGAGAGAGTGAGAGAGAGAGAGTGAGAGAGAGCGAGAGAGAGAGAGAGAGAGAGAGAGAGAGAGAGAGAGAGAGAGAGAGAGAGAGAGAGAGAATAGAGAGAGAGAAAAAAGAAGAGAGAGAGAAAGAGAGAGAGAAAAAGGGAAAGAACTCGAACCAGAAATCGTACTTCGAAGCTTTAAACATTACCCTTTGCATCTGTAAATAAACCTTACTGCTGTTTACATATTCGCAAAGCCAACTTGAAATGCTACTGAACTGCAATATCAAACTTCAATCCTGAGAGTCTGTCTTATATGTGTTTATCTTACTTGGAAGGACAAAAGTTGTAGTTATGTGAACGAGTGAATGGGTGTTGTGTTTGTGTGCTTGTGTGCTGTGTTTGTGTGTGTGTGTGTGTTGCGTATGTGTGTGTGTGTGTTGTGTTTGTGTGTTGTGTGTGTGTGTGTTGTGTTTGTTGTGTTGTGTGTATTGTGTTTGTGTGTGTGTTGTGTGTTGTTGCTGTGTGCTGTGTTTGTGTTTGTGTTGTGTTGCTTCTGTGTGTGTTGTGTTTTGTGGTGTGTGTGGTTTGTGTGCTTGTGTGTGTGTTTGTGTGTGTTGTGTGTGTGTGTTGGTGTGGTGTTTGTGTTTGTGTGTGTGTTTTGTTTTTGTGTTTGTTTGTGTGTGTTGTGTTTGTGTGCTTGTGTGTGTGTATGTTGTGTTTGTGTGTGTGTATTGTGTTTGTGTGTGTGTTGTGTTTGTTTGTGCTTGTTGTGTGTGTTGTGTTTTGCGCTTGTGTTTTGTGTGTTGTGTTTTGTGTGTGTGTGTGTGTTTGTGTGTTGTGCGTGTGTGTGTTGTGTTTGCTTGTTGTGTTGTGTGTGTGTGTTGTTTTGTGTTTTGTTGTGTTTGTGCTGTGGTGTGTTGTGTTTGTGTGCTTGTGTGTACTTGTGTGTGTGCTATGTTTGTGTGTATGTGTGTGTTGTATGGTTATGTGTATGATTATGCTACTGTGCGTGAACTAAAGTTGCAGTTATGCGAACGAGTGAATAAGTTCTGAGAGTGTGCGTATATGTGTATGTGTGAACTTATATGTGTATGATTATGCGTATGTGTGTTTGAGAATAATTCATTATCGTTATCACTTTGCATATTAAGATCAGGTTCATGACTATGTAAGTTTACAGCATTTGTTTCTATGCACACGATTATAAACAGGAACAAACTGCATGATAAAATGCAAGACAAGAAGAAATCACAAAAGTTATCTTACTAGGAAGTCTTCATCCAGCTTGTAACTATGCAAACGCACTTGTATTGATTCACACACACAGACAGATACAGACAAGACACACACACACACACACACACACAGATCTCTCTCTCTCTCTCTCTTCTCTCTCTCTCTCTCTCTCTCTCTCTCTCTCTCTCTCTCTCTCTCTCTCTCTCTCTCTCTCTCTCTTCTCTCTCTTCTCTCTCTCTCTCGCTCTCTCTCTATATTTATATATATATATATATATTATATATATATATATATATATATATATATATATATATATATATTATAATATATATATATATATATATGTATATATATATACATATATATAAATATATCTATATATATATCTATATCTATCTATCTATCTATCATATATATAANTCTAGCGGCATTATATCCACATATATTATAGTCCAGTTAATATACCTATATATATATAGTGGTTATATATATAGAGCGCGTGATTGTACTCTCAATTTGTATGTGTAATTCACTTATTACCATTATGATGAACTATATAACTATTATAATATATATATTACTGGTACGGCGTTACTTGATACTCACAGCGCGGTAACAGCTGTATTTATTTATATATATATGAATTATTTCGCCTATTTTATATACATACATATATATTGCACTACACACACACTACCGTATTCATCTACACCACTTTTCTCTAATCTCTTTTTTGCGCTTCTCTACATATTATATTCGTATAGTATATAGTACCTAATGCGCAATCGGTAGCTATATATATCATGCTATATATAGTATAGTACTAATCTATTTTCATTATTATTTTAGATTATTATTTATGTATATATATTGTAATTACTATATCATATTTCACTATAGTACGTATAATTTTGTATTCTTCTTATCATCTCCTAAATATCATTATTATATATATTATTAGATATAGCATTTATATAATTACTACTATAAGCTCTTTATATATATTATACTTAGTAAAATATATCATGATTATATATGCATTATTCATATATATATGCAATTATTCATATTATAATACATACATATATATAATATATCGAAATTAATATAATTTATAGCCCACGAATTATATAACATATTATATGATATAGCATTGAATACTCACGCTCAAACACACACACACCACACACAGGAGCAGTAACTACACAGTAGTATTAGCATTGGTCGTCATTAATTGATGAAGTGGACATATTATCATTCCAGAGTCTTAATCTTTATCATGGATGGGCCGATTCACAACACAACACAGCAACACCAGGGCGGGTATAACACAACACACACTACAGATCACACCATTGTATTCAACAACATTGAATATATAATATATATATATTTATATAGTATATAGTTATATATCTAATTATACATAATTTCAATTATGATATTTATTGTTATTAAATGTACTGATTATAGTGATATATAGTATTAGAATTAATGTATTATATTTATATTATCTTTATTTTGTTAATATTATATATATATATATATATAGTTATTAATGAATTTGTATATATACATAAGACACTACACACACACAACACACCACACACACACACACACATCACACACATACACACACATCACACACACACAAATCAATATGGTATCTTATCCTGGTCACACAACATACACAACACACACACACCGACACACAAGCAACCACATGCAACACACTAACACAGCAACACACACACCCACACATACACACACACACACACACACACACACACACACACACACACACACACACACGACATACACAACACACACAACACACCACGACATTTGAGTCCCCTTAATCAAAGATGCTGCCATCTTCGAGAAAGATTTGTATTTTCTGAGATTTGGACTTTATCAATATTTCAAAGCCTGTATCTTATGAACTCAACAGCTGACGTCCTGAGACCTTAAATATTCTCTCTTCTCGAATATTTCATAGATGCTTCTTCTGAATAATTTAAAATCTTCTGACGGTTGGCGAGTCATATCTCTGGCACGTTTTATCTCCGCCCACAAAAATGTTCTTCGTTTAGGATTGGCTGTCATCCGCTGAGTGGGCGGAGCGTATTGGCATCCTTAACCAAGATTTGTTTTATCAATTATTTTCCTATAGTTTAAATTACTTATTCATCAAAGTTATAAAATGTCGCTATGTATTAATGCTTATACCTTGCAACGAGTTCTGTCGAAATTGAAACTTGGGAAGAAAGCATTCATCAAGAAATTCAATGTCGTTTAATGGGTAGTTGGCATCGTCGGCTCTTATTGATAAATGGAGGCTGACTCCACGTGCTCGCCACTACACCTCGGGATTATCCTTGTGACAAACATCAACGGCAGGAGTGAGCTGTCATTCCTGTTTTGATAGCTGACTCGAACGGCCGTTTACTCTTAATTCAGTTTCATTGCTGACTTGTTCGCCTCGTTTTTTTCGAATTCGAGAAATTTGCGAGAAGGAAGTCTCCGTGAACTTTTATTCTTTGACGACATTTGGTAGGAGAAGAATCAACAATTGATCAGCCTATCAATATTCCGTGAATAACAGAATGGTGACTTTGCAATATTCAGTGTTTTGAAACAAAGAGTTTGTTGAAATACCACATCGTGAAGAGAGAATGCTGGGAATCGATTTTATGGGGTTTGTGTGAAATAGAGACGTATCTTCAATTAACTTTTTTCTACAAAACGCCAGCAAAGTTAGTACCAAGTTTCATCTAAAACCGACGAACGTTGATCAAAGTTATGGTATAATTATCAATCTATAACATTAGAATATTCCTAGAACAACGCCAACAACAAAATCTGAACAAATAGAACCACAGACTGACAGTCCAGACCCCCAAAGACCCTCAACCCCTCAAAAAAAAAGTCCAAACAGAACCCCAACATCAGCGAGAGACAGACCAACGCCAGAACCTCCCGCGAGAACCTCCCGTCCTTTTCCAACGGACGAAACACGAGCCTAGAACCATGTACGGCTTGGAGAACATGAACCTCGAGGTGGTGAACCGGCAGTGGATGAACTCGCCAGGCTACGCAGACTGGGACAACGCCTCCACCACTTCTGCGGCGTCCTCCTGCAGCGGCAGTGGGGACGCCCTGGGCGCCCTGGCCCGTCCGGAGAAGTCGACGCAGGTTAGTTGTGGAAGGAGTGAGGGGGGGGGGAGGGGAGAATGGGTGGGGAGGGAGGGTGAGGGCGGTTGGGAATGGGTGGGGATGGAGGTTTGGTAGAGGGAGAAGGGAGACGGTTGGAAGGTGATGGAGAAGAAGGGAGGTTGGAAAAGGGGTAGTGGAGGGGGAGGAGAAAGGGTGGGGAGGGAGGATGAGGGCGGTTGGGAATGGGTGGGGATGGAGAAGAAGGGAGGTTTGGAGGGGTAGTGGAGGGAGGGAGAATGGGTGGGGAGAGAGAGGGAGTGGGGAAGGGAGGGTGAGGGGGTTGGGAATGGGTGAGGGATGGGAGAGGGGAGAGAATGGGTGGAAGAAGGTGGGGCGGTTGGGAATGGTGAGGAAGGGATAGGAAGAGAGAGATGGGGTGGAGGAGGGAGAGGTAGAGAGAGAATGGGTGGAGGAGGGAGAGGGAGAGAGAAAGGGGAAAAGAAGAGGGAGAATGAGTCGGGATAAGGGATGTTCAAGAAATGTAAAGAAAGGGTGAGGGAGAGAGAATGAGGACGATTAGGGGAGGTGGGATAAGGAAGGTTGATCTGAAGGCTCGAGTTAGAGAGAGGAACGGGAGAGAGTGATAAAAGAGAGAGGATGGTTGATGGGAAAAAAAGAGTGAAAGTGTATACGCGAGAGATGAGGTCGAAAGAGATGAAAGAAGATGACCGCTGAGTGGGAGAAGATGAAGGAAGGATCATGAGTGAGGTAGTTATGATGGGTCAATGAGAAATGAGGAAGGCGATGAAAGAGCGTGTGAGAGAGAGAGAGAGAGAGAAGAATGGTGAGTCAAAATGAGTAAAAAATTAAAAGTTTAGGAAACCTTATGATGGGAAATGGCATCAAGAAAAAATATAGCATGAGTGAAGTGATTAAAAGAGGAGCGTGACTTATGACTCTCCCCTGGGGTAGATGAATAATTGTGAATATGAGTAACGTCAGTAAAGTATGGATGGCCATTAGAGAGTGCCAATGAGAAAAAGATGTAAGTGAATGTGATTGTGAGTAACATGAGTAAAAGTGAAGTGAGTAAGCGTGACCGATAACGAGGTAGATAAGAAGATTAACGAGACAATTAAAAGTGAAGTAAAAAGATAAAAGCAACTGAAGGTGAAGGTGATCATATGTGCGTCTTATGCAAAAGGATAAACTTGCGATAAGTTTTATTTTGTTTCGTCATTTCACAAGACACAAAGTTGGAAAGTGTGAGTGTTGTGTATGTAATTGTGTGATTTGGAATGTGTATTGTAGATGTGTAGTATGTAGTGTGGATGTAGTGTATATATATATATATAGTGTGCATGTGTGTGTACACAGATATTATGGTAGATAAACAGATACATGAATAGATTAATATAGATTGATAGGAGAGAGAGAGAGGGAATGAGAGAGAGCGAGGAGCGAGAGGAGAGAGAGAGAGAGAGAGAGAGAGAGAGAGAGAGAGAAGAAGAAGAGAGAGGAGACGAGAGAGAGAGAAAGAGAGAGGAGAGAGAGGAGAGAGAGAGAGAGAGAGAGAGAAGAAGGAGAGAAGAGAGAGAGAGAGAGGAGAGAGAGAGAGAGAGAGAGAGAGAGAGAGAGAGAGAGGGAGAGAGAG